AGAAATAAAATTACCAGCCACCTGATAACGATAATGTTGTTCTAAATAATAATATTATTTAAAATGTTGCGCTTTGTACCTACCTACCTATTAAATATTAAAGGGTAATGTGAATTACTACTCTAACCAGTACCTACTACCTAACGTTATTATTATTTGTTACGTTCTACGTTCGTAATACCTAATATTTTCTGGTAATTTTATTTCTCTTTTTGTTTGGTTTCGATCTCTTCGTTTCCCGCTAGAACGTTCAAAATTCTATACTACGTTCTACAACTTAGGTTAAAAAATAATAAATATTACTTATATTATTACGAATAAAAACAAAAGTGATTTAAACATAGATAAACKTGATGAGAATAACAGAAATTTAAAATTTGAAATCGGATCAGAGTCTAGTTTCAGAYTGTAACATAATATAGTGCAAGGTATGTTGTTTTGTCATAATTAGTACCTAACTAATTMGATTTTTGTTTTCCCTGAATTACTACCTCGCATATAAAATTAAATGCAATAGTTATTTCTTATTAGTTTATTTCATATTTAAATAAATTAATCAAACAATTAACATTTTGACTTTCATATAGGATCAATACGTTTCATTAGGATGGTTCCCAAATTGCCATTAGACATAACAGTACCCCAATATGCACTGCGTAGACGAGGAGCAATATGTGTTTCAGCTATTGTACGCGACTTATGCGAGGTAAGGACTTCCATTACAATTGGAATATAGATTGATTTTGTTYATTTGTAAAATAGTTCATAAAATATACATTTTTAACTAAAATATTACCTACCTAGTTGTGGATACATTTATTGAGGTCAACTGTTTGGCTGAGTTTTACTATTTACAACTGACAACTATGCAATATGCAATATGTCTAGAATATTATTGTGAACTGATTAAAATTTTTTTCTCAGTTATTGCAAACTATCTATGTAATAACTTATTTAACTACACTATTATGAGTTGTCAAGGAAATGTAATAGCTAATATAATATCATGGTCATCAGTGATCTACCTAAAACTAGTTATATTTTAATGGCATTTATTATTAAGTAACAGTATCCCTACTTTTGGGTCTTTATATCATTAAAATATTTAATAGTATGAAATATTATAATCGATTAGGTATATTTTAGTAAAATTAACAATTTTCATAATCTGAAAAATTATTAGGGAAATACTTAATTAACCTATATTATAATATTCAATCTGAGTGATAGTTGTATGTATGCGAYTGATTCTTCTAAATATAATTTTACTTATCTGGAAATTGGTTAAAGCCAMTAGGTCATATATTGATTTAAAGTTAGTATTTAGATCATCTATTTACAGATAAGAAATATTTTATGTAAATATAAAACAAATTATTATATTATTGTATATATTATTTCCATAGTAYTTCATTGTATTTTTATAAGATGCAAAATGTAACMGATTATGATAATAAAATATTCATTTGTCACTCAACTTTGCTCAACTTAGCTTCCCCAACAACAGATGTATTAAAGTAACCCGATCATTACCCTGATAAATATCAAGTATGGTATCTATTGTGTAATATTTCGAAAAATAATATATTTTAATTCAAAATTTATTGATGATAATTTTCGAATCAATGTCAAGGTTTTGGGTTTGTGTATATTTGTTTCAATCATTGATCTGAGTGAAAATATAGATTTTTGAAATTATAAATTTCCTYTGGTCCTAGATATTTAATAATGAACTTGATCTTATTTCGAGAAAAAAATCTACTGATAATATGTATAGTACCTATACCCTCGAGTGTACCAATTTTTTTAAAACTAAAAGAACATTTTTAATTACTCGTTAAAAATTTAAATATTAAACATATCAAAATATTAATCAATTAATTGTTAAAACTGATTGAAAAATGTAAAAAAAATTAGTGCAATTTTTTTTTTGTATTTTGATAAACAAAATTATGGTGTATAATTATGGGTATATTTTTATTTCTAAAAAAGATAAAAATAAAATGTTTTTACAAAGCTCACATTTAAAATCAACAATAGTTACTAAATATGTATTCATCATTCACCATTATTGTAGTGAAACTTCCATTTAACGAAATTTTCTGTTTAACGAAATGTTTTTGAGAAACAAACATAAAATTATATATTTACACTAGAATTCGTAATTTGGATGTTCATTGTAACTATTTGATAGTCATTATATTATATTATTATATCTAGTCTATACCTAAGTTAATGACATTTTATATAAAAGTAGAAAATATTACAATATCATGGTTTTATATTCATAATACAAAACTTAAAAAAAATAGAAGAATAATTGTTAAAACAAAATAATTAAAAGACGTAAGTGTCATTAGTGGGTGACTTCTTCATTCAAACTTTTCATTCTCCATTGTCATTAGCTCATACTGTAATTGTGCCGTTTGCGTATAGATTGTGAATACATTAATAAAGAAAAAAAAAAACAAAAATTAAAAATCTGGAAAAGCCCTATAACTCTTTTAAGTGTCAAGTGTACTCGTATAATGACAACATTTGAAAATTTAAAAGTCTATTTGATGTACTGCCATAGGAAAACGTTGGGCTTAAAATGAATCTAAATATTATTAGAAATTTCATTGTATATAAAATTGTTTTTTCTCATATAAGTAAGCACTTAAATGTTGAAAAAACTTAAARGAATTGAAAATTCTGTCATGTCTAAAARTGGTAAGTATAAATATTTGTTGAAAATATCAAGTTTTGAATAGTAAAAAAAAATAAAGTCAGTATAAATACCGGGTTTTCGAAAATGATCACATTTTCCGTAATTTTTCTTTTGTTTTTAGATAGGTACCTACATCATTGAAAAACTTAATACATTCTGATCATGCTAAAATTTTTACTTCTACCTTTTTTAATTACGCATCTGTAGTTAGCGTGTATAACACTATTACTATTATTATTTTATGGTTATTCTTTACTCTTTGATTCACACACACACTCATATGCATTTATAATCTACACACGTTGCAAATTTAGTAGATAGCTGTGCAATTAAATAACTGATTGTTAATGGTTTCATAGTTACTGGATTTATTTAATAACTACAATTTTTATGTATATCATTTAATCTATACATCTATAATATAGGTAATTAAAATGTAATTTCGCTGGTTGGTAACAGCATTAATCGAGAA